TAAGTGCATTACACTATAGCAGTGGTTTTTAACCAGTGTGCCATGGAACCTGGGGTGCCTTGAATGATGGCCAGGGGTGACTATAAGCTCCACAGATGAATGGTGCTTCTGGCAGGCACCTCTCTTTGGGGCGGGGAGGGGGGCAGCTCAGAGACCAAGGATGGCAGCAGTAGCTGCCCGGAGGACTCCCAAGGAGAGGGGAAAGGAGAGGAGGCTGAGGGTGTTCAAAAAGGGGTGAGGGGCTGCAGACTCTGCAGACATGGGGTGACATACCTGGGCTCCTGAGCTTCTCAGGGGTGCCACAGAAAGAATGTAGTTGGTTAAGGGAACCGTGGACTCAAAAAGGTTGAAAACCTCTGCACTATAACATGACACAGGGCAAAACACCATCTGAATGGCAATGCCCATTAACTTAGGATGGGACCTCAAATATTTTATTGGGGGGCTAAGGAACCTTGGCCCCTAGGAGTTGGCTCCTATGGTATGTGTACACACAAACAGAGCTTTGACAAGAGATGCAATGAAAAATGCATTATGGATTGTCCCTGGTACAAAGGTGTGCATTGATTCCGCCACTGGCATGGAATGAGGGAGGATTTGAAGCCTGCTGGTGCTCAATAAATCTGCAGTGTTAAGCAAACTTACTATGGCATAAAGCTTGCTTTTGAGTAAACATGCCTAGAATCACACAGCACATCTGTCGCATAAGTGATATAATACAAAGTATTGCATACAGTATGCTTAACAGTAAGCATACTGTTAAGCAGATTGTTCCAAAGACTTAATGCACAAATCTCTTTTTGTCAGGAAATTCTTCTTTCTTTCTACTCCATATTAGTATGTATCCATTTAAAACACACGCGGCGAACCTCTTGGTGGGCTACAACTCCTATCAGTCCTGGTCATTGGCCAGGCTGGGAGGGAGGCGGTTGATGGGAGCTGGAGCAAAACAGCCTCTGGACGACCCCAGCTCCCCCACCCCACATTTAAAGCTACTAGGGTGGCAGCAGATACTTTTAATGAAAAATGTTCCAGTAAGTTGATGTCACTGACAAACCTCTGTTGCATTGTATAAGATCCCCAACCTCTTTTCTGCAAACTGCTTCTCAAAAGCCATAAAACTTTGCCACTATGTAGAGATCCAAGCATAGATACAGATGCATTCTGAATCAGCCGACTCTCAGTTGTCCTCTAGGAAAGTGTTAAGTGGAAAGCAGGGCACAATGCAGAGCAATTGCTACTCACTTTCTCTACAGGATCAGTTGCCCACTCTCAGTTGCCATGTGACAGCCGGCCAGAGAACACCTGCAACAACAGAATGAGCCCCAGAGCAGGCCTAATAAGCCTTGGAGGTACCCATAGCCCAGTGGCAGAGTCACATGCCTTGCATCTAGAAAGCCCTTGCATCTGCCATTAAAAACTCTGTTAAGAAGAACTATGGAAGACCTCTCCCAGGGAATACTGGACTGGGCAGACTGTCAGTACAAGGCAACTTGGATGCCACCTCTTAACATGAAAATTCCACTTGGCTGATAAAGGGGGCAGAGGGGGGATCCCTAAAGCTGGTGCTTTGGAAAGTTCTGCTGGCCAGCCATTTTAATATTTCAATCAGAAAATTATATAAGCTTACCAAATCCAAGTACACAGAACACACTGACTGTCAGCCATATAGTTTCACACCAGCATTAGGTCACATTAATGGCAGCATGTTCTGCTGCGGCAGAACTTTCCCCAAACCCAGCAGGAAAAACAAATGATTGGAAAAACTTGGCAGGAACAATTCCTCTCTCCCCCCCCCCCATCCGTCCTCCCCCTTGCTAGGGTGTTATTTTGGGCTGCATGAAGAGCTTGGGCTTGGTTGCCTGCAAAAGGCAAATTAAGGTGAAAGCTTGGTTCATGGAGAACAAGCTGATACTGGGACTGCGGGGAAGGAGGATAAGAAAGCTGACGGAAAGAAAACATGAACGACCATTTTGTCTTATTGCAGTGCTTCCTGTGTTCAAAATGTAGGCATTAGCCCAAGGTCTAGGTGTGGGGGGGGGGGGAACGCTGTTTCCTGATCGAGGCTGTGGTACTATACCCACTTACTTGGGAGTAAAGCCCTGTTGAACTCAAGGGGACTTGCTCCTGAGCAGGCAGGTATAGGATTGCCGTGTAAATATCGACACTGCTATTTTACTTTGATCTGTGTGGGCATCGTTTCCTGACAGCGCATTCCTGTCGGTGTGCGCTCAGAAGTCAGCCGCCTCCGGTGCAATTTCTAGGTAAGCGTGCACAGGAGTTTTGGAGGTTTAAAGAAATTTCACGACCAGTCGTGGGATTTTATTTTCAGCAGCGAGGGTTCACCCTTCAACGCTCATCTTCGATACCTGGGAAATTAAAGGGACGCTGGTATAGATTATCTGAAATAAGCTTGTCACCTTCCTGCCCTGAATGTAGGAAACAACTTAAGGGGAGTCATGCGAGCCCTGCGTTAGGAATAACTGAGGTGGACTCGTCGGCTGGGAGCTCTGCGCGAAACTTGCTCGCTTTTCAGCATTTAACCACTCAATTAACCAGAGGAAAGGTGAACTCCCGACGAAGCTGTCCCCAGACGATGGCGAGGTCCTGCTTAATTCTCCCTTTCATTGGCAAGCGTGGATTGAGCAGCACGCACATGGGCGGGCTCGCAGGATTTCCTTGGCTCCGCCGTAATAATATTGTGGGCAGAATTGATATTGCCACATTAGAAGGCTGGGGAGGGGAGGCTGAGCTAGAGTGTTCCTTAATCCAGGCCCTTGATTATCCATATTCCGATTTATTTTTTAAAAGGGGTTCTGCGGCCTGCTGTGGATGATTACACGATTAATGTAATGCGGTTTGAAGGGTCTGTGTGCTTTCCCTCTTAATTTGGGTCATTACTCAGAAAGCAAGCGTGAGATCGTTTCTCCAGCATTGGGGAGGGGGGGGATTATTTTCTTTTTACAAAACAATAATAGTAATAACAACAACAGTATAAAAAGACACAAGGATAGTCATTCAAGAAATAACTTTAAAACATCTCAAGTGATGGAACACACACACGCACGCACACCCCACTAGAAAAGTGGCAGGTTACAGCTGAAAGAGGTGCAGCCTAAACTTCCAATGTCGACACTTTTTAAAGGAATCATCGGCATCTAATTTTGTCTTTCTCCTCCTCCCTCTAGGGATGGAAAGGAGCCATCGAGATCGGAAGCTGATCTCTCTCCCCCCCCCCCCATCTCTTAGTTGTGGAGAGGAGGAGAGAAACCAAAAACAGAACACATACACACAAAAACCCTCGAAGGAACTGGCGGTGTGGGTGTTGTTAGTGGCAGACGCCTGGTTGCGCGCGAGGGGGGAGAGGGAGGGCCCCCGAGTTTGCGCTTGTTTGTTACCGTCGGTCGTCTGCCTCGATCTAGTGTTTTGTTTGTCTGTTCCCAGAATCCCTTCCTTTTCCCTCTAAAACGAATAAAATAAAATTAAAAAGAACAGGGCGGTTTTTCTCTCCGCTTCCCCGCGCCCCCAGCATAACCTGCACAGGCTGCGCTTTGCAGTGGAACGAGAAGGCGCAAACAGGTGCTGCGGACTCCGGAGTCTCTCCCGACGCGCACCTTGCACAAACGCTCCTGGACTAACAAATAAACGAAAAGATGTCCTTATCTGGAATAGCTTGCTCGGTGCAATGTGGATTCCCCCACCTTTCTTGTGTCTGAGAGTCCCTTACTTTTGGGGAGGGATGGAAAACCAGCGACAACAAAAAACAGCACACCAAAAACCGACGGAAGGCTCGTTTTAGCAAAGAAATCCCTTTCTCCTTTACCTCCTCTCTTAGCCAGAATGTGGATTTCTCGTTGTTGTCTTTTGCTTATTGAAACGGCGATCCTAAGCCCCGCTCCGTGTAGGATGTAGATCCCGTTTCAATAAGCAGACCTGGAGGAACTACAGACTAGACTCCCAATCCTTTTAAAAAATAAATAAACACATTTTTTAAAAACGGCCCTGGGGACTAGAGTCATTCCACATGTTTGCCACACGCGTGTCCATAAGGAACCAAGCAGACTTTCCAAATCCCATTCGCTTGTTCTGTTCCTCTCCGCTCCAGAGCAGGCGCGGAAGTCTGGCTTGCACGTGGGAATCGAATTCACGCCACTTTCCCGGAGTAGCAACAACTCCAGAGCCCAGCAAAAGTTGATGACACCTAGGCCGAAACTTCCCAGCTCCACATTGAAATGGAACGGGGAAATCGCCCCATTTCAAAGGGGGTTGTCAAAGTGGTGGATTGAAACCCTTTTAAGCAGTGGCCCGATTCTTCCCCAACTTCACACACAAATAATAATAACGATAATGATAATGATAGACCGGAATTGAGTTTATTTTTGTTTTTTGTTTTAAAAAATGTGTTTGGGGGAGCTGGAAATAAGACTCCTATTAAGCGACTTTTTATTGCCTCACAGATGATAGATTCCTTAGTTATTTTGGTGTACATTAAAATTTAAAATTTTCAGTCATATATATTTATATATTTATATATATACATATACATATATAGAATGATTGGCCAGGCCTATTTTATTTTATTTATTTATTTTATATATATATATTTTTTACAGTCCGGCCAGGCCTCCGAAGAAATGTTGCTTTCAGTCCAATCAAAGATCCGCCACTATTCCCGTAATTCAATCCGCAGCAGCGACGGAATTTTAAATAAGTTTCTTCCTTTTCGCGTGTCTATATATATATATATATATATATACACACACGCCAAAAGTGATTGCCTCTCTTCAGCTTCTGTTTGTGTGTGAGGGGGGGGGGGGGGACACAGATCCGAGGGGCTAGTCCCCCTTCCCAGGCCTTTTTTCCCTTTTGTAAAGGGCCCGAGATCTTTGGAAGTCTCTGAACGCGTCGCTTTGACCATCGTGCAAAGACGTCTCTTGCTTCGCTGAACAGGCTCGCCTCGCTTCTGCCTTATTGTTGCTTTGTGTGAGTGTGAGTGTGTTTTAGCTTTGCACGGTCCTAGGAAGTTCTTTCCCGCAAGGCGCGGCTGTAGCGGCGGCGGCAGCGGCGGCGGCGGCGGTGTCGTGCAGTTTCCTCACGTGCTTCTTCAAGTCAAAGTTCCTGCAGAAGCCCTTGCCGCAGGTGACGCAGGTGAAAGGCTTCTTGTCGTTGTGCGTGTGCATGTGGAAGGTCAGGTTGTAGATCTGGTGGAAAGCTTTGTTGCAGATGGTGCACTTGTACTGCTTCTCGCCGCTATGGGTCAGTTTGTGGTTTTTATAATTGCCTGTTTGGGAGAGAAGGAGGAGAAGAAAAGTAGGGGATTGGGGAGGGGAGCACGTTAGTTTCAAGGGGGATCGTTCCCTGCCATCAACACGCAGGCACGCAGGCACACACACACACATTTTCTCTCTCTCCAGATACACCCCCCCCCTCACTGGAGCAACAAGAGTTTCTGCGGCGGGGCTTCATTAGGAAGCGTCCTGCAAGGGGCAGTCAAGAAGTTGTCAAACTCAGTCTCCGTCAAGGCAGAGCAGCATGCAACGGACGAATTAAAAAATTAGAGGCAGGGTCAGCGTCCTGACCCGGAGCAAATGGGAGAACCTGGATTAAGAAACCCCCACCACCACCAAAAAAAAAAAGAGGGTAAGGGGGTAGAAGGCCGGTTCTAATTTAAAGTTGGAATTTTCTAGCCTGAATCCAGGCAGGGGAGAATCGGCCTAGGCTCTTCCGAAACTTTATTTGAGAAAATACCGTGTCCCCCACCTCAAGGGCAAAGGCCCACCTGCCCAGCCCAAGTTAAGCGCTTTAAAGCGCCGTGGATTTCCAAAAGTAGACCGTGAACAGAGCTCTCCAGTTAGAAATCAAGGGAGTTTTCGTTTAAAGTGCTTTCGTTTCGGCTGAATCGCGCCCTAAGTGGGCTGAATTCATTTTAATCGCTGTTAATAACAAGTGACGGGTTTGAGCTAGTCTTTCGCGGCAGCCCCAGGGCAAAGCCCCCTAAGGACGTTTAAGGGAGGGAGGGAAGGGGTCATCTCCTAGCAGCCGCCTCTAAATACGATAAATACGGCGGTTACTTTTTCTTTTATTTTATTTTGGAACGCGAGAGAACCGCAAGATTCCACTTGGAACCTTCACAACTTTCTGTTTGGAACCTTCGCAACGTTCTGTCTGGAGCCTCGTGCTCCGCGGGGAGCAGAAATTGACCAGACGCCTTGAAACCGGCGGGTAATTCTTATATTTCGTCTATCCACCACCACACGTGTTGTTTCCAAATTGTGCTTCCAAATAAAAAAAAAACATTTTCCTCCTTAATTCGAAATAACATTATACTTCGAATAATAACGAAACCAGGTTCCTCATCCGGAAACAAAAGTAGCCTTCTACCCCTGCTTTTTCATTATTTATTTTTAGCAATCATTAATAATTTTCATATGCACACAACTTCTCCCCCCCCTCTCCCCCACCCCCTCCCGCCACCAGCAGAAAAGCCAGAAACAAAAGCCACCGTTTTTTATCCCAGATACCTTTTTGATGAAATCCTTTGCCACAAAATTCGCACACAAAAGGTTTGTAGCCAGCGTGGATCCTAATGTGAGTGTTTAGCGTGGAACTTCTGTTGAACGCTTTCCCGCACTGGTTGCACTTGTGGGGTTTTTCCTGTTGGGCCGGGGAGAGGACATTTTAAAAGAGAGAAAGAATCGCGGGTGGTTGTTTTTTTAAAAAAGAAATAAAATTTTATTTTGGTGCCGCGCGCATAAACACACAGATCTGACCCTCAGGTCTTTCCCCCTGCCCCCGTACCTGCGTGTGGATGATTTTGTGTCTGCAGAGAGTGCTGGCTTGGCGGAAGCCCTTCCCGCAGACTTTGCACACGAAGGGACGGGCTCCCGTGTGCACCGGCATGTGGCGGGTGAGGTTATAATGGGCGTTGAACACCTACGAGGGAACAAAAAGCACAGGCAACTTTTGTCAGCCACAGGAGAGCTTACCTCCTCGCCTTTGCGCCCTTCATCCGGAGTGGCCAAAACACGGATCCAAAGGGGACGAGGAGAAAGACTTTCGTTCTGAATATCTCTCTCTACAAACACACACACACACACACACAGTTTAAACGACCCTTGGTTAAACTATAGTTCTGCGGCTGCCTGGGTGAACCCATTGGATCCTGACTACCTACCGCTCAGCCTCGGCGCCACCGCGCAAACACACGTACCCAAAATCTGTAAAATGGGAACAAAACTCTCGAGCGATTCATTTAGTGCTATTGTTAAACCGCGCCAGGAGCACCAGTGATAGGCGATGCACGGGGCACCGTAGCGACACTATAGCTCTCTTCCGCAGGTGGTTTTTACACATCGTACATCCGCTATGAACCAGGAGACCCGTTTCCGTTCTCAGCTCTGCCACAGATTTACCGGATCCCACCCCCCCTCTCTGTGTGGCTTTGATAAACTTAATCACAGTAGCCTAGTTCTGTAATGGTGATTATGAAGTGTCTGGGAGCAATTGGGAAGGAGCTAACCCCTCCCTTTCAAGATTATTAAAATGCGCTGAACTTTTTAAAAGAAAAAATATTATTATTAGAGTGAGCTGAAAGAAGCGTTCTAGGAATGAGGGCTCCCTCCTGGCGCGCGCAAAGAGCCGGAGCGCGTTTTTACGGCGGGCGCAGCCCTGTCCCGGCTGCCCCCACGGTTCTAGAGCTAAGAGCGCGCCCCCTAGCGCGAGACCCTGCTCCTGCATACCTTGCCGCACACCTCGCAGGTAAAGTTCTTGGGCTTCCCGTCGGCCGCACCGCCCCCTCCAGCGCCTGCGACGCCGCCGCCGCCGCCGGGTTTGCCGTGGTGATGTCCTTTGGCGCCGTTCCTTTCCCCGGCCAGGCCCGTGTTCTCCTTCATCACTTGGTCCAGCTGCCCGGGGAGGCGCTCCTTGTGCGGGTATTGCGCGTTGGGGAACTTCTCCGACGGGGCCAAGGAAGCCAGCTTGGCGTTATCCAACAGGAAGAGTTTCTGGTGAGCCGAGAGGGCGGCCGCGGCTGCGGCCGCGGCTGCAGCGGCCGCGGCGGCGGGGCTTTGGGAATGGAGCAAGCTGGAAGTGAAGAGCTGCCCGTGGAGGATCTCCGACGGGTGGTACGGCGAGGAATCCAGGTAGTTGAAGTAGTAGAGGCTAGATCCGTTGGCCGGCATGGCCAGCGCCTGGTTGATCACCTGCGGCTTGATCACGCGCGTCGTGGCGGGCAAGGAGGCCTGGCCCAGGGGGCTGCTGCTGCTGTTGTGATGGTGGTGGTGGTGATGGTGATGATGGAGGTCCCCCTTGCAGCACAAGCCGCAGCCGCCTTTGCAGAAGCCGCCGACCGTCGAAGCTGCGCCACCCGCCAGAGCAGAGCCGCAGTTCCTCAAGCTACTTTTCCACAGCTCGGAGTAGTTGAGCAGCGCCTTGGGCGAGGGCGCCTCGTACCCGGGCAGAGGCTGCATGGGCGCGATCACGCACGGGATGGGCGAGCAGAGGCTCAGCAGCTTCTTGCCCGGAGACTCGCTGCGACGCGCCTCGAAGGCGGCGGCGGGTTTGTGGTGCTGCTGCTGCTGCGGCTGGTGCGGTTCGGAGCTCTTGGCCATGATTCTCTCTATGGAGAAGGCGAGCGTCTTGGCCGGGTTGGCCGCGCCGTTGCGGACGCAGGCGGGAGGCATGACCGTCTCCAGCGGAGCCGAGGAGGCCATCTCGGGTGGGGGAGGGAAGGAGACCCGAACTGGAGATGAGCAGCCGGATCTCGCCCATAAAATAGATCTATAGATATAGATATATATAAATAAAATGATAACAACAATTAAATTTTTGTTGTTTTTTAAAAAAATAGGAGAAAAGGGAGGGAAGAAGGCGCGCGTCAAATCACAGTTTCTGCCGAGTTCCTCCTCCAGCTCAGCATTCCAGAAAAGCCAGGAGACAAATCAATTTAATAAGCACCTCTCTCCCCCTCTCTCTCATCTCCCCCCCACCCCATCCTAGCATCTCCTCCCCCATTTACATTCAAATGAACACAAGAACAACTGCGCGCGGGGAGACCAGATTGCTGCTCATTAAGCGAGGAGGCAAGGAAGAAAGAGAGCGAGAAAGTAACAGGCAAACTCCCCGTCCCTTGCGGAGTGGGCCTGCATTTGAGAAGAGCGGCGAGGGAGGGGAGTAGGAAGGCAGGGAGGGGGGCAGAGAAAACCCCAAGCGCAGCCCCAGCCCCTGCGGATCTTTCTTTCGGGTCCCACTAGGGTGGGGAGGGGGTGAGAGAGTGGGGGGGAGGGAAGGAGGAAGGAGGTGGGCAGCCTGGCCTGGGATGAGTTACCTTTTTTTCCCCTTTGCCCGACGCCGCCGAGGAGACGCATCCAAGCACCGCGGTGCGGCCGCGCTGTCAGATTTGGATAGCCAGCATCTTCGCGAGCGTCAGATCGCTGTCTCTTACATTTAAAGCTGACATCACATGAAGTCACTTGGAGCAGAATGACATGGGATTTGGGCCACCAAGGGGGGGGGGAGGAGAGAGAGAGAGGGAGAGAGAATTTCTTTTCCCAGCCAAACGTTCAGCAAAGGTCTGGACTGAAAGAGGGGGGGGTGAGGAAGGAGGAGGATGAGAAACGTATCCCCCTCTCTTCTCCAATTTAAGGCACACCCTTGGCTTTCCTTGCGCAAGATAGAGAGAGAGAGAGAGAGAGAGAGAGAGAGAGAGAGAGAACCCTTCCAAGCGGGAAGGAGGGATAGAAGATTTGGGGAGGGGGAGTAACTTGCCAAAGGAGAGAGAGAGAGAGGAGTCGTTTTGCATGTGGCAAATTAAGAAAGGGAAGTGAGATTCGCAAGTTGGGTGCAACGCAAGCGTGCAGTTAGAAAAGCCACCCCAAGAAAGCAGACTTGTATTTAATTTAACAAAAGTGTGCGCGCGGGGTGGGGAGTTGCGCAGGGAGAGAAAGAGAGAAGAGGAATTTTTAAAATGATGATTCAGCTCCGTCTCTCTCTCTCAACCCGCTACCCCCACCCCCACCCCGGCTCCAATTTAGGCAACCCGTCCACAATCAGATCCCTTGCAAAAGCGAGCCGGGAAGATCAAGTGACAATTTATGAAAGATCAGCCCGCCCCCCACCCCAGCCGCAAGAGCGCGCATCCGATGAATAGCGGGTCTATTAATGAGGTCCTGGCGGCGTTAATGCGAATTAAAACTTAGTTGAATGCTGCTGGCGCTCAGATTCCTTAGACCGGCCGCCGGGCTCCTGCCAAAAGCCGAATATCGCCATTCAGACAAACAAACAAGCAAACAAACCAATTCACAAACAAACAGAAATCGTTCACTTGTGAGATGTGATTTATTTATTTAATATATATACATGGACAAAATCCCCTTTCTGCGAAGGTGGTTGTTTTTGTAGAAATGAAGCGGAGCGAATCCTATTTTTCTCCACCTCCCTTGACTGGTTGTTGTTGTTAATTGGTTTATTTCCCGCCCTTCACCCTGAGATTTTAAACAAATCGCGATGGCAATTTAAGTTTCTGTCATGGAGTTTGCAAGGATCAAAGGACGAAGAGAATTTGGGGCAGTGGCGGTGGTGGAGAGTCTCAAGCAACTCCGGAATCCGACCTCCAGGTGTCCGGAGCTTGCCTGATACGGGGTGTGTGTGTGTGTGTTCAGTGGGTGCGTGTGTGTTTGGTAAGAGAAGGAGAGAGAGATTTTGTCCATTTCCCACCTGGTTCCTGCGGGCAGCTCCGGCTGCTGCTCTGGCCGAGCTCCCGAGCGATGGAGAGCCTGCCTCGAGGCTCCTTGAATAGGGAGAGACACTATAGCGCTGCGTGGCACCTGATTTTGTGTTTCTAAAATAAAGAGAAGGATTATTTGGAGGGGGGCGAGAGAGAGGGAGGGAGGGGGAAGGATGAGAAGACGGGTTTGCAGAGTAGGTAAAGCAAAGCATGAAAAGCATCTCTCTCTCCCCCTCTCACTCTATGCAGTTCTTTAAACAAAACTCGCTACCCCAACTTGGGAGGAATTCCGCTTTTTGTGTGGTGCTAACAAAGGGCCACAGAGAGAGAGAGAGAGAGCCAGAGCGCAGCCGCCGCCCCTCTTTGCGGCGTGGAATGGGTTTTTTTTTGCGGGGGGGGGGTTCTGTTTTCAGACCCGCTGTTTTCACCTGCGAAGCACAACAAGCCCTTCTGAAGGAGTCCCGGAGCACAACACCCAACTGGCCGAGCTGATGATGGCGGGTGGGTGGGTGGAGGCCGCGGGGAGAAAAGGGGGGAGGGAGGGGGAAAATGAGGGTCAGACAAGGAGTAGCAAGTTGGAGGGAGCGGGGGAAAGGCAACGCTTTTTCACACAGCGTTTTTGTCCCGCAGACCTGGCCTCCTTCTTAAGAAGCGCTTTTGCGCTCTTGCCGGAGAGATAAAAGGCAGAGCGCAATCTATCCAGGACTCCTTTCTCCCGCTCCGCTTTGCCTCTCTGTTTACACGTGTCCCCCCCTCTCTCCCCCCCCCGCAATCCAGCAGCTATATCAAAGGAAATGATGGACGCAATTATGTTAGAGAGAGGGGAAAGAACTGCTGTCGTTGGACTTGGGTCAGCCACAGGATCACTCCCCCTTTCCCCTTGCTCTCCTGAATTCGTGTTCCTCCTGGACACGTAGGAACGCTCGGCCGCGTGGCCCCCCTCCTTGCGCTTCCACGTTTCTAGTCCTCATGAACTGCGCGCTGGGTCAAGAGGGAGAAACATGCCTGAGGCCCTTCCAAAGCTAAGCGGCTGCAAACGGATCGCACCACGCGCGCGAGACAAAAGTGTAGGCCTCTTACGTGGGAGGAAGCCGGATAAATCCACGAGACTTGCCTCCAGAGAAGCGTATTGCGATCGGAGTGTAAAATCAAGAACCTCCCCAGAAACATATTATTTTATTTATTTATTTATTTACAGAAGATCAATGGACAATTGAAGCTCAGTTCCAATTGCATGTGTCCTGGATGAAGACGGAGGCCAAAGGGCGCCCTTTTATTTTATCTTATAATTTTATTTCATTTTATATTATTTTATTTTCGAAACCGCAAGGCAGCAACGCGTCTGGTCTCTAGTGTAAGCTGTTCGCTGTCTAGATTCGTAGAAACTGGGGTGGAGGCGAGCTCGCTTTTCGCGAAAACCACCAGACCAAGCGAGCTCATCATATTAAGAAATAGTTCGCACGATCCCTGATGCGGAATTTGGGATTGCCAGCGAAGAGACCAAGGCTGAAATCTTCTGAGCCGCCCTCGACATAGTAACCTGGCAGTAAGCTCGGTTTTGAATAGCAAAAATAGAGGAAACATTTGCGGACTTCTAACTGTGGATCGCTGTGACGACTCTCATTTTACGTACTCATAAAAAAGAGGACGTGTCCTGGAAAAAAGAGGACATCTGACAACCCTAGTAGACACCTGTAGGATTGCAACGGGAAGTCTAATGATATTTAAGTAATAAATTTGCATAGAACTGTGCTGTACTATTCCTTTCCGCGGTCAACTTGAAGTGTGTGTGCTTGTGCGAGCGAGAAAGCGAATATGGCAGTCTCAGTACTTCTCTCCGTAGTATGGGTGTATTCAAGGAAGAAGATTCCTGCTGGTTCAGGCCAGCGACCCATCTAGTCCAGCCTCTTCTTCTTCTCACAGTTGGCCAACCCATGGAAGACCTGAAAGCAGGGCCTGAGCACAGGAGCGCTCTCCCCACAGACAACTCGTAGAAACTGGTACTGTATTCCGAAGACGTCTCTCACAGTGGAACTAGAACAGAGTCATAGCGGCCAGTATCTTCGCCTGCTTTCATTGCTCACCTAACCGCAGCCTCATCTCTGGATATTTATGTGTTCTTTGCATTTGCATGCCGCCTTTCTGCTAAGGCACCCAAGGCGGTTTGCAAGTTTATGTAAATATGTGACAAAGAGATTCACGGAAACAGTGAGGACCATCATCAACTACACTAGCGTGGTTGGCTCGTTCTCTTTCTCTCCCACCCGCCTCTTTTACTAGCCCGTTTCCAAAGGGCTCCACCTGTTACGGCCTGGGCCCCTGGGCGACCCACCTGGGACCTCCGCTTTAGCCGCCCGCTCCCCTGAGACGAAGCTTTGAATTCGAAAATCCCCAGCCCCAACTTTTGGCTGCCAAAGCAGCTCCTTGGCTTCCGCCAAAGGATTTAATTAGCCTCCCAAACTTCTCTGTCTCTCTCTTTCTCTCACTCACTCACTCACTCACTTTCTCCGCCCGCCTTTAACTTCGCCCGCCGATTCTACCGAGCGGAGGGGTTGGGAACTCTTTTACACCTTGCCACTCACATGTTAATTAATCTCTATCTAACCCTAATTGCAGCTTATTCAAGCACCGCTCAACAGCTCACCCACACAATAAACACGGCGCGTACTTTTATCCGTCTTACTCCACGCTAACACGTTGAGTAATTAACTCCAGTACCAACTAATAGTGCAAACAAATATTTTCTGTAAACGAGATGATTTGAGGCAGGAGGGAAGCGGGCGGCGGAGACGGCGAGGCGAGGTGCGACTGCTGTGCCGGGTCACCGGCGCTAAATCCCCCCCCCCCCAGCCTCCCCAAAGCCTCCCTTCTCCTCGGCGCTCACTTCCCTCCCAGGCTCGAGAGTCTCTTCTCCCCACCATTTCCAGGCACCGTTCTTTTTCTTCTCTGTTCCCTCTTTTCTTTCCACCACTTTTCTGGTCTGCATCC